AGTAGACAAAATACATTCATATTAATGACAGTAGACACAAAACAATATATTCATATAAATGCCATTTAGTAGACTAAACAATACATTCATATGAATGCCATATAGTAGAAAAAACAATACATTCATAGGAATGCCAGATAGTGGACAAAGCAATACATTCATATAAACACCAGATAGTAGACACAAATCAATGCATTCATATGAATGCCAGATAGTAGACACAAAACAATACATTCATATGGATGCCATATAGTAGACACAGAACAATACATTCATATTAATGCCATTTAGTGGACTAAACAATACATTGATATGAATGCCATATAGTAGACAAAACATTACATTCATATAAATGCCATATTGTAGACACAAAACAATACATTCATATGAATGCCAGATAGCAGACACAAAATAATACATTTGTATCAATGCCATTTAATGGACTAAACAATACATTCATATGAATTCCATATAGTAGACTAAACAATAAATTCATATAAATGCCAGATAGTAGACACAAAACAATACATTCATATTAATGCCATATAGTAGACTAAACAATACATTCACATGAATGCCATACAGTAGAAAAAACAATACATGCATATGAATGCCAGATAGTAGACACAAAACAATACATTCATATAACATAGTTGAACTCTGGTGACCTTGCCCTTTGTTATATAATATAATTCACTTTATCATAGTTTGTTTCAATATAAATATGCATTGTCATAATTAATTTTGAATACAAACAAGTTTTGGGGTTGAACCAACAGTGGGGAATCAGTCTACTGAATGTCCTTTAAAGATGTAAATATCTTACAAAAACATTGGTGCCTTATTTGTTTAATTATTTTAAGGGACATAATTTCCAGCTTTATTCAAAGTAATTCAGATATTTTAGTATAAAAACAAATGTCTCATTGCAAAAAAAAAGGTGCTGCATTTAGACGTGAATAGATTCATAAAACATGCAAGATAACAGAAAATCTTGGCTGGCTTTTGTCCAAGTATTTTGTACAGGTGTATTAAAATTAATGATTCACTGAGACAAATATGAACTGCCTCATTGTGTGACTACATGTACTGTATTATATGAAAAGTAAAAAAAAAACACCCTTTATGAATAGCTATCATGTTGCAAGCTCTGCTTTGTATGCAAATCAACTTAAATAGTTAGTTGGTGTCCAGTGGAGGGAGAAGTCAACAGTACTGTTGCCTCCTGAGAATCTACATCTTCAAACACTGCAATCTTTGAAGTGAGTTTTTAAACCAGTATTATAAAAACTTTATCATTCTGTTCTAATAGCTGAAACATATTCCTGCGAGTTTTCATTTGTCGAATGAACTGTTTGTCAAATACAGAATACATATATTTTAGAATAATTTTCTTTTTAAAATGTGGATGAAATGTTTTGCTTTTTATGTATTTTTTATGTATTGTTTTTGATTTGATAACTTTGAACTAGCAAATTTTCTATTAGCTTCAGATCTTGATCAAAGTTTGGCACCCAGTTCATAGGAGTGCTTATATTGATCTTCTGACATCTTGTTTTCTGTAAAGATTTTATTGGTAGGTTTGCAAGTGTGTATCAGACTGTGCAATCTCTCCATGAGTTGGTTTTAAAACGCCAGTATGGGATTTTGAGATACA